CTCCCGGGTTCACGCCATTCTCCTGCCTCAGCCTCCTGAGTAGCTGGGACTACAGGCGCCTGCCACCTCGCCCGGCTAAGTTTTTGTATTTTTAGTAGAGACGGGGTTTCACTGTGTTAGCCAGGATGGTCTCGATCTCCTGACCTCGTGATCCGCCCGTCTCGGCCTCCCAAAGTGCTGGGATTACAGGCTTGAGCCACCGCGCCCGGCCCACATATTCTCTTATAGTCTTCTTTATTTATATAGGTCAGTAGTGATGTTCCCGTTTTCATTTCTGATTTTAATAATTAGAGCCTTCTCTTTTTTCTTAGTCTAGTTAAAGGTTTGTAAATTTTATTGTTGCTTTCAAAAAACTAATTTTAGGCTTCATTGGTTCTATTGTTTTTCTATTCTCAATTTCTTTATTTGCTCCCTTTATTCTACATATAATCTTTATTTTCTTCCTTCTTCTAGGTTTGGGTTTAGTTTGCTCTTCCTTTTCCTGGTTCCTTAAGGTGTGAAGTGAGATTACTGAATTGAGATCTTTCTTGTTTTTTAACATAAGCATTTATAGCTATATATTTCCCTCCATAAACTGTTTTGCTGTATCCCATAAGTTTTGGTTTGTTATATAATCACTGTCATTTATCCCATAGTATTTTCTAACTTCTCTTTTGATTTCTTCTTTGATCAACTGGTTGTTTAAGTGTGTGTTATTTAATTGCCACACATTTGTGAATTTTCCAGTTTTCCTTTTGTTATTGATTTCTAATTTCCATTGTGGTCAGAGAAGATACATTATATGATTTCAATAGTTTTAAATTTATTGAGACTTGTCTTTTGAACTAACGTATGGTCTAATCTGGAGGACTGAGAAGAATGTGTATTCGGGAAGAATGTGTATTCGGGAAGAATGTGTATTCGGGAAGAATGTGTATTCTGCTGTTGTTGGGTTGAGTGTTTTATATATGGCCATATTAGATCTAGCTTGTTTATAGTGTTCTTCAAGTTCTCTATTTTGTTATTGATCTTTGATCTAGTTCTATTTTTAAAAAAATTTTTTAATCATTGGAAGTGACTTATTGAAGTCTTCAAATATTATTGTTGAGCTGCAATTGCCTATTTCTGTCTTCAATTCTGTCCATTTATGCTTGGTATATTTTGGGGGTCTGATGTTAGGTACATAAATGTTTATAATTGTTAGGTACATAAATGTTTATAACTGATGTTAGGTACATAAATGTTATAAAATGATGACTTATGCCTGTAATCCCAACTACTCGGGAGGTTGAGATGAGAGGATTGTTTGAGGCCAAGAGTCCGAGACCAGCCTGGGTAACATAGCAAGACCCTGGTCCCTAAAAAAATTTATTTTAAATTAGCAAAGTGTGGTGGTGTGCACCTGTAGTCCCAGCTACCTGGGAAACTGAGGTGGGAGGATCACTTGAGTCCAGGAGTTTGAGGCTGCAGTGAGTTATGACTGTGCCACTGCACTCCAGCCTGGGCAAAAGAGCAACCCCATCTCTAATTGTTTTAATGGTGCTGGGACAACTGGATATCTACACACGAAATCATAAAGTTGCACTATATCTCACACCAACAAATTAACTAAAAATGGATCAAAGCCCCACATATATGAGATAAAGCCATAAAACTCCTAGAAGGAAACATAAGAGTAAATATGCATGACCTTATATTGGGCAACGGTTTTTTAGATACGACACCAGAAGTTCAAGCAACAAAAGGAAAAATAGATAAATTGGATGTCATCAAAATTAAAAAGTTTTGTGCATCAAAGGACACTACAAAGAGAGCAAAACAACCCATACAAGGGGAGAACGTGCTTGTAAATCATAATTCTGATAAGGAGCTAACATCCAGAATATATAAAGAACTCTTACAAATCAACAACAAAAAGTCAACCCAATTTAAAAACAGGCAAAGTCCTGTAATAGACATTTCTCCAAGGAAGATATGCAAATGGCCAATACATGCAGGAAAATAAGCCCAATGTTATTGGTCATTAGGGAAATGTAAATCCACAGCACAATGACATGCTATTGATACTTCACACCCACTAAGGTGGTTATAATTTAATACACACATGCACCAACAAATAGAAGGTAGCAGATATTGACAAGGACAAAGAGAAACTGGAATGCTTATATATTGCTAGTGAGAATATAAAATGGTACAAATGCTGTGAAAAACAGTCTGACAGGTCCTCAAAATGTAAACATGGAATTCCATACAACTCATCAGTTCCCACTCCAAAAGAGGTGTTCAAACAAAAACGTGTACAAGAATGTTTATAGGGCCAGGCACAGTGGCTCACGCCTGTAATCCCAGCACTTCGGGAGGCCGAGGTGGGAGGATCACTTGAGGTCAGGAGTTCAAGACCAGCCTGGCCAACATGGTGAAACCCCACCTCTACCAAAAACATAAAAAATTAGCCAGGTATGGTGGTACACACCTGTAATCCCAGCTACTTGGGAGGCTGAGGCAGGAGAATCGCTTGAACCCAGGAGGTGGAGGTGGCAGTGAGCTGAGATGGTGCCACTGCACTCCAGCCTGGGTGACAGAGGGAGACTCTGTCTCAAAAAAAAAAAAAAAGAATGTTTATAGAAGCACTATTCACAGTAGCCAAAAGTTGAAAAGAACCCAAAAGTCCATCAGCAGATGAACGGATAAATGAAATGTGGTGTCATTATGATGGAATACGATTCAGCCATAAAAAGGAATGGCATTCTGAAACATAACCCAACACAGGTGTACCTTGAAAACATGCTCAGTGAACGAAGCTAGACACAGAGACCACATATTCTATGACTCCATCTATATGAAATGTGCAAAACAGGCAAATCCATATAGAGACAAGTAGAATAGCAGTGGTTGGAATAAAGCAGAATAGCAGTGGTTGCCAGGGGCTGGGTGTGGCTGCTTAATACTACAGGTTTCCTTCTGGAGCGAAGATAGTTCTGGAACTAGGTAGTGGGGATGGTTGCACAACATTGTGGCTGCGCTAAATGTCACTGAATTGCACACTTTAAAATGGGTAAAATGGTAAATTTTATGTTATGGTTGATCACAGTTTAAATAAAATTACACCTGCCAAGGGTTTCTAAGAATGAAGCCCTGAGCGCCGCAGTACTGGATACTATCAGCATTTTAAATCTTGTTTGCTCTTACAGGTGGGAGGTGTGTGTTTAAATCTGAGAAACTTTAGTTATTAATGAGATCAACTAGCTGTTCATCTCATTACGGCTTATTGGAAATTTAAAATTTTTAATTTTGTATTCAATTCTTTTGTATCTTATCCTGTTTTAGTGGTAAGGACTTTAAAATTTTCACATTAATCTTCCATCTGTCATGGAGATTGCAAGTACTTTCTGGCCGTTCATATCTTCATTTGTATACCCAACGATTCCTTCGGGGCTGTGATAGGAATGTCATGGATGCTGAGCTAAGCTGAGGCACGTGGACCAGTCTCCAGTGCCCAACCATGCCGGCTTTCCAGGGGACATACGTTGTAGGTGCTCTGGTCAAGGTTTATGCTTTCGTTCACATCTGACCCTCTAACATTCCCACTGGGCATTTTATACTTGGGTCTGCCAGGCTGATGGGCTTCCTTTCCCATTGTATTTTCACACTGTCATGGCAGGGGTACAGGTAGGGGCTGCTGGGTGCAGTGACTTTGTCTCTCATCTAGCCCTTCGGTGAGCATGGCCTGGGACAGTCACTCTGATCCTAGGTGTACAATCATGTCACCTACAGATACCACAAATTCACACCACGTTTCAATTTCTTGGCATGTGGCTTCGGCCAAGGTGCAAACACAGAGTAAGGCTCTTGTCTTCAGTAAAGCTCCCAGGCGTCTGGGCAGTGCGGCTGACTGTGTCCCCATCAGACTCTTTTCTCATCCAGAAGAGGCTGGAAGGACATTGGGAGATGTTGGTAGTTCCTGGTCAGAACCAGCCTCAGGCTGTGCTGGGCTCAGGCCTTGGGACAGAGGAGCTTGCCTGTGATGGTCTCTGCCCCAGGGTCAGGGCCAGCCCTGCCCGATGACCTCCTGAGCATAGGACAGCTTTGCCAACCCCGAGTGTCCTCCACTCACCACACAACCCTCACTCCACACCTGCCTCTCCAAGGCAGAAGCCCCTCCCCACCCTCAGGCCCTGACCTGTACCCGCCCCTCTCAGGACACCTGACCAGGGCTCCAGGGGACAGCAGTCCAGACCCAAAGGCCAGTCCCCAAGCCTTGTCCTCCTAATGACTTGACTGTCCAGAGGCCTTGCTGGAATGTTCTGTTTCCTTCTCAGGGGAGGAGAGGTCCTCCCTCTTCTCCTACCCTTGGCAGACATCAGGATCTCAGAAAATCCCAGAGCCCACCAGGAAGCACTGTCCTCAAGCGCCTTTTCCCAATACAGGCACCTCGTCCTGGCTCTCCCGATTGCAGCCACACCAGCCCACCCCGTGAGGTCCCTGCAGACAGAGGCTGGGCATCCCCCGGGCCCCACGCCGGGCACAGTCCTGGGACCTGCCAGGTGGAAGTCACCAGGTCAGCCCCAGAGAGGCCGCACCCTCCCTCCTGGTGTTCCCGGGGACAGGCTCAGCCAGGGGTGCAGGCCCTGCCCAGGACCAGCCGAGTGTTAGGAGCAGAGTGAGGACAAGTCATGGCAAGGGAAGCAGAAATAATGAGGGTCCTCCCGGCTCCAAACACCAACACGGAAGGGGAGGGCGTTGCTGAGTCTCCTGCTAGGAAAACACAGGCCCTGGGCATATAAAAGCCCCAGCAGCCGACAGGCTCAGACACACACTCACTCACACACTCACTCATTCACACCTCCCCCAGCTCACCTCCTCCCCACCCCAGCATGGCCGCGTCCACCATGTCCGTCTGCTCCAGCGCCTGCACCGACTCCTGGCAGGTGGACGACTGCCCAGAGAGCTGCTGCGAGCCCCCCTGCTGTGCCCCCAGCTGCTGCACCCCGGCCTCCTGCCTGACCCTGGTCTGCACCCCAGTGAGCTGTGTGTCCAGCCCCTGCTGCCAGGCGGCCTCTGAGCCCAGCCCCTGCCAATCAGGCTGCACCAGCTCCTGCACATCCTCATGCTGCCAGCAGTCTAGCTGCCAGCCGGCTTGCTGCACCTCCTCCCCCTGCCAGCAGGTCTGCTGCGTACCCGTCTGCTACAAGCCTGTGTGCTTCGTGCCTACCTGCTCTGAGCCTTCCTCTTCATGCTGCCAGCAGTCTAGCTGCCAGCCGGCTTGCTGCACCTCCTCCCCGTGTCAGCAGTCCTCCTGTGTGCCCATCTGCTCCAAACCTGTCTGCTGCAAATCCCTCTGCTGTGTGCCCGTCTGCTCTGGGGCTTCCACTTCATGCTGCCAGCAGTCTAGCTGCCAGCCGGCTTGCTGCACCACCTCCTGCTGCAGACCTTCCTCCTCCGTGTCCCTCCTCTGCCGCCCTGTGTGCAGGTCTGCCTGCTGCATGCCCGTCTCCTCCTGCTGTGCCCCTGCCTCCTCCTGCCAGACCAGCTGCTGCTACCCAGCCTCCTGCGTGTCCCTCCTCTGCCGCCCCATGTGCTCCCGCCCGGCCTGCTACAGCCTCTGCTCTGGCCAGAAGTCCAGCTGCTGACGGCGCTGAATGTCATCCAGAGTCCCTTCCCACCTGGGGCTGACCTCCCAGCGGTCCCAGCCAGCTCCTCCCTCTCTGGCATTGACACCCTCAGAATATGGGGCAGGCTCTTTGTCTTAGGGACCAGGATGCTCCCCCAGTCCTTCCCAGATGCTGGCTGCATGGGGGACCCCAGCTGCTCCCCCAGACCCAAGTTCTGCAGAACTGACCCCAGCAGGCCTGGTTCCACCCTGGGCAGAACCCCTCTGAGTCCTAGTAAAGCTGCCTCTGTCTCTGTCGACCTTCGATCCTGTCTGTGGACCCCGGAGGGGCGTGGGATGAGGCAGGAAGCAAGGCGCCTGGTGCTGGCCTCTGTGAACCCTGAAGGCCAGGCTCCCTCTTAGCCCCGTGGGCCCCCAGCCCCAGCACGTGGCGCCCCAGACCATCTTAGGGAAGCTGCCTCTGGAACCAAGGCCAGGAGTTTTGGGACAAAGTAGACCCTGGCAGCAGCTCTGGGCCCCTGAGCCACATTCACCCTCCCCAGCTCCATGGCTGCCCCCCAGGACTGGGGTAGCCCACCCGGGGCCTGGCTCCACCCAGCAGCCTCACCGGTCCTGTTACCCCTGGGGAGACCAGCTATGGACCACAGTGCCCGTCCCTGCAGCCCTCGTCTCCTCCACAGTAAGACGTGGGACAGCCCCTCCCCCAGGACTTGAGCCCAGAAGCCTGGGGTTCTTCATGGGGTTCTTGAATACCCATTGCTCAGGCATCGCTGGCGAGAGCACAGATGGGCAGGGACCATGGCACCCACTAACCAAGCCTGCAGCCCCCCTACCCCATGCAGCCTCGCCTAGAGATTCAGGGTCCTGGTTCCCTCCTGATCCCGTGGTCCTGAACTCTGACCCCGAGGACCCTGTCCCCACACCCCCAACCTCCCAGCTCTCTCCCAAATAGCCCTTAGCTCTGCCTGCCACCCTCCGTCCCAGATGCCACATTGGGCAAGCGGTACGAGCCGCCACACTCTTTCCACCAGGTCGCTGTGTGCATTCGAGAGACCAGGTCCGGCTCCAGAAAATGACCCTTGCATGTCAATGCCAGAGGCCTCCAGCCCCAGCACTGGGACCTCCCGGAGTCCTGCCCAACAAAGTTCACTGTGGTCAGCACAGCCACCTCCCTCACTCCCCTCGAGGCAGACCACCCAGGACAGACCACCCAGCAGCAGCCGTTCCCCGGGCCGGAGGCCAAACTGACACAGCCTTGTCCACCTCCTTGGAAGCAAAGTCAGGTCCCCATGAAAGGACAAATGAAGGCCTCCAGGGACAGAGATGTTTGCTTCCCGCCCTGGTTCTCCAGGTAGCTGGCGGAGCCAAGACTTCATCCTAGGGCTCCAGGGCCATCCTGGGGAGGAGCTCCCCACACATACGTGTCTGAGCCCCACCTCACTGTGCCCACTGATGGCCTCAGGTGAGAACAGAGAGCCAGGAGGAGGGCCCAGGGCTGGCTCTCTGACCTCCTTCACATTTGTCATTGTCCCCCACCTGCCCTTGTCCGAGGCACCAAAAGGACCCAGCCTGTCTGGCCATCCCCAGGGAGGACACCTCCTGGTGACCAGAGCTGTGGGGGGTCTCAGCTCTGACCCCTGCTCTGGGTCTCCATTCGATGTTCTCCTGCCTCATCAGAGCTTCAACCCCCAGTGAAAGCACCTTGGAAAACAGATCCTCAAAATGTCACTCACTGTGTGACCCTGTGACCCCGTCAGTCTAGTTCTAGGCATCTACCTCTGAGGAATGAAACAAACATTCACACACAGATTTGTGTACCCATGTACACAGCACCACTGACAGTAGCCAAGAAGTGGAAAGAGCCCAAATGCCCATCAGAGGATGAATGGACAAGCAAAACACAGCCTATCCACACAAGCAAAACGCAGCCCATTCCCATGCGGAATATTATTCAGCCATGAAAACGGATCAAATACTGACACAGGCTACAACATGCATGAGCCTTGAAAGCATGATGCTCAGCGAGAGGCCACATGTAGTGGGATTCTATTTGTATGAAAGACTCAGAACAGGCAAATCCACCGAGAAAGAAAGTAGATAAGTGGGTGACCAAGGCTGGGGGAGGGGCTCATGAGAGGAGACTGCTTATGGGTGTGGTTTTTGGAGTGGGAATGTTATAAAATTACATATTGGTGATGGCTGAGAAACCCTGGGAATTTACTAAAAACCAATGGACCGTGCACCTGCAGTGGGTGAACTCCATGGCTTGTGAATTTTCTCTCGGTCAATGTGTTAAAAACAAATAGCCTCAGCCCTCCGTTTGGGATGGCCACTGGCCAATGCCTCCACCTCCCGTTCATCCAAATAAAAATGAATGGTGCCAGAGCAGTGATAGAAAACGGAGGCATGCCATCCACAGACCAGGTCAGTAAAGATTTTCTGGGAAAGGCAAGACAAAAAGATCAGGTTCTATTGACTTTAAATCCAACAGAAAGAAAGGCAGGAGAAGGACTCTGAAGACAAATGAGTTTTCCCGGAGACCCTAGCAAAGGGACCATATATGAGGATGACTGTGGGCACTCAGTCGTCTTTAACTGAGAGGTCGAGTTCTGAAGAAGAGCCATTCCTTGCCCTGCAACCAGCAGGAGAACCAGGAAGGGTGGGGCTGGCCCAGGAGACTCCCAGCCTAGGTCCCAAGCTGGAGAGGAAGAGGCCACACCCCAGGAAGCTCTGGATGCCAAGATAAACTGGAGCCCCCATGTCCAATCAGCGATGAACAAGGCCCCCCTCATCAGAGCCCCAGCATCAGCTCTGGGTGCAGAATATGTGTATCTATGTGCAGAAAACCTTTCAGCAATGAATGCCAAACAATCTCGACCCTCACTTAAAAATGTGAACAACAACTAAGAGTCCTCAGACATGTGAGGAAATCACAGCATGACAGAGAAGCAAAGTCGGAACAAACGATGATGCAGATGCGAGGAAACAAAGAGGCTGTCACTACATGAAACAAGAACAGGGTGCTACCAAAAAGGAGGAGGAAGAGGAGGAAGGAAAACACCCCAAGTTCCAGGAGACTGAAAGTGCGACACTCTAAACACACATGAAACTCAATGATGGTCTGCATAATAGACCCTGAAAGCAGAATTGCTGATACAGTGACCCCATTTCAGGCAAGGATTGACCCAAACCCAATGCAGAAGGACAGAGATAAAGCCAAGAAGAGCCTGAGATCTGAGTGGGAAGAACCCAGGAGACCCAGGGTCTGTGATCCTCACCAGGATCACAGTGGGGAGAAAATCCAAGAATGGAAGAAAATCATCAAACCCATATGGAAATAAAAGTTCCTTGAACTAAAGGAAGATGGGACCGAGGGGATGAACACAGCTGATGACAGTGTTGGGGGAGGGGTCTGGTGAAATGAATGAAGTACAAGAAGGAGACAATAGTGCCAGGTTCTAGACAAAGGAAAGGCTTCACAAGAAGATCAAAGTTATGCAAATATGAGACCCATTGGTAGCCCAGCCTCTACCAAGGTGGAGGGAAGAAATTCTGCACGTAGACTCTGCTGTGGCAGGTGTCAGCAGGAAGGCTGTTCTTAAACAACAGGGATCTGGATAGTTTACCACCCACGATGCTTTCTGAAACTTTTACTAAGCAATCCCCAACAAGAAGAAACATGACCCCCTCTTTCCAAACTTCCACAAAAATCCACAGACGTCCATCAACGAAAATCTAAATAAAATAGTCTAATAAAAATAAGCAGACCTGAAAGATGGAAAAAGAAGTATGCTCACAGATTCAGATTTTCCTTTTTCAGTATAAGAAAATAGTATGGGTATATTTATCCTAAAATTTGGAAATATAAATGAAATGTACTGTGTTCTAAAAAATATAAATTACCTACACTGAGTAACAAAACAAAAAATTTAATACAATGATATCCAGGAAAATATGGAAGTGGTATTGAAAAAGGTCATTCTTCAGAAGGCAGACTCAGATGTTTCAAAGGTGTATACCATTAGTCTTCAATATAAAGACTTTTCTGTGATACTTGAAATATTCCAGAGATCAGAAGAAGCCAGAGGTCCTCTGGATTCCTCTAGTATGACTGGTGACACCCTGATGCCAAAATCAGGAGCAACAGTGAGAAAGATAGGACTGTAGACCAATGTCGTTTAAAAAAATAATATAAGAGATTCTATGAGCCTACATTAACAAACTAAGCCATTATGTATAGCCATTATGGGAAGTAGTACAGAAGTTCCTCAAAAAATTAAAAATGGAACTACCATGTGATGAGCAATCCCACTTCTGTGTATTTATACAAGACAAATTAAAGCCAGATCTCAGATACCTGCACTGCCATGCTAACTGCAGCACCCTTCACAACAGCCAAGATATGGAAGCAACCTAAGTGCCCATCAACAGATGAGTGGATAAAGAAAATGTGGTGTATATGCACGACGGAATACGACTCAGCCACAGAAAGGAGGGAGATCCTGTCATCTGTGGCAACACGGATGAACCTGCAGACACTATGCTAGGTGAAGTGACCCAGGCCACAGAAACACAAATACTGCAGACCTCACTTATATGTGGAATCTAAAAAAGCCAAGTTCACCAAAGCAGAGAGTAGAGCGGGGGTTCGAGGGGCTGGGGGTGCAGGGAGTGGGGACATGTTGATGGCAGGATACAACTTCAGCTGTGCAGGATGAGTCAGTTCCGGAAACCTCGTGTGCAGCACGAGGACAGTTGACTGTAACACAGAATGCAACATAGTAACACTGAAATCTTCTAAGAGTCCATTTTAAATGTCTCATCACAAAATAAAGGTAACTATGTGGGGTGATGGACATATTAATTAGCTTGACCTTGGTAATCATCACACAATGTGTGATCAAGACGTCATGCTGTACACCTTGAATTTATATAATTCTTGTTTGTCGATGATATCTCAATAAAGCTGGGGAAAAAGGGATAATAAGCCATTATCAAGCAACGTTTATCTTAGATAGCTCAAGTTACAAAGGGTATCATTATACTCATAAAATAGAAGCAGAAAAGCCACTGGAACTCTCAGTAGATTAATACACACACACACACACACACACACACACACACACATACAC